CCTATTTTTGTCTAAGGTGATGAAGGACTGGTAGTAGAATTTTTCCACAATCATATGAGTTGAGCTGACGCTTCAATTGAATTTCACATAGACTTGCTTTCACAAAAGTTGTTCTCATCCCGGCTGGAGTGGACTGCAGTTTCGACCTCGCATTGGTCTTACCCAGAATGAGAACAACTTTTGGGAAAGCAAGGCTATGTGAAATTTAATGGAAACGTCACCTCAACTCATATGATTGTGGGAAAATTCTACTACCAGTCCTTCATCACCTTACACGAAAGTGGGTGAAAACATCTCATTAAACAGACAAATAGTCTAAGAGATGGACACACAGACAGCTATGAGATGTATTCACCTCATTCCATTGAAAGTGAACAAGAAATGGCGGTTCAATGTTCCCACATTTGCATGATTAGGCGTCGTGTTTCTGTGCAACTTCACACTTGGCCTTGCTTCCCAAAAGACATTCTCCTCCAAAAGGAAGTCTACTGCAGTGTCCTCCTCGGCCCGGAATCGAACTCGAGTTGCGCCAGCGCAGAGTACAATCTCGACGAGCCACCAACTACACCAGACCGCCACGAGTGCACTTGGTTGACAGGACAGATGTGAATTTCAGATGTGAATTTCCATATCTCCTCATCCGGTGGGATTGTCAGTGGAGCACACCTCTATCCGCCATGGCCGTCGACTACATCATCTACTTATCAGCGAAAAATAAGTAACTATAAGTAACAATTACTATGGCAAATACAACTTTGCTTCGTCGACAGTCTCACCGGAAAACGCGATATGCAAAAATGCCTGGCCTTCCTTGGAATTAACCTCCGACCTACACTGCAAGATCATTCGTGGCAGTCTGGTGGAGTTGGTAACCTGTCGAGAGGATACGCCGGACAAACAAAAACCCGAGTTCCAGTTCGACTTCCAGTTCCAGTTCCAGTTCGGTTGAGGGTGCTGATGAGACCGAAGCGAGAAGGAAAGTACACTCCACGCCTGCCTTGAGGAGAATACCTTACGGGAAGGAAGACTATACGAAATTCAATTGTAAGACAATTAACCTAAAACGAAATCAGATCTACCGGCATTCTCGAGAAAGCTACTTATAGCCGAAAGTCATACTACTCTATAGACAAACAAAGATACGGATAAACAGACATATACACATAATGACCAACAGCCAGAGAGATAAACAAGCATATAAGCTATCGGCTGGACAGACAAAAGATGATGGAGGACTGAAAGATGCATTTAACCGTAATTATGTGCGTATACCCCTAAAAAGTGACCTCTTCCCGGTCGGAATTGACTGCAGTTTCCACCTCGCCTGGGTCTTAGCCACACGTCCAGCGGGAGTCGAACCATGCCCATGCGTGTAAAAACGAAAAAAACAAGTTTGCTTCATCGACAGTCCCACTGTGAGTGTGATATGTGAACGAGTCACGATGGAGGTGGTGATGAGGCGAGTTCAAGCAAAGTGGAACCTGCGGATCGGTTCATTTCAACACGCGAAGAAAGACAAAGTGAAGCCTACTTGCCTGATTTCGTGTGTTTTGTTGTATTGAAACAAAGCTTTCCTACAATCGGACAGTCCACTCTTCGCTCATGGCGCATTGGTTGTGAGATTTTTTGGGTCTGACATGTATTCTCCGTTATAATCGACCAAGTTGCTAGGACGTAGTGTGAATATGTTAGCCCGATCAGTACTTCTTGAATAGCAACTCCGTCGAGCAAGTTTGGTTAAGGTGATTTATAAAGAGATGGCCGACTTTTGCCCACATTTCTATGCGCAGACGCACTCACAAACTTGTGGGAAAAGTCGAGCATCAGCCATTCGATCACCAAATGCGACCTGTTGGAGGTGTTTCGAGGGCAACAGCGAGTCTTTAAGAAGTACTAAATCAACCAAAGTGCCGTTTTAGTAAACTTAAAGTTAGCAAATTCTTGTCACAAACAGACACACACATTAACCTGTGTGTGTGTGTGTGTGTGTGTGGGAAGACATCGATGGGCGGAAAAGTGGAATCAACTAATCCCTCCAGCCGGAACCAGCGGGTGTCGGCAGACATGATGCCTCGAGAGAGTCAGCAGAGGCCCGAGGCG